CTGGGATTACAGGCACGCGCCACCACGCCCAGCTATTTTTTTATAAAAAAAATTCTTAGTAGAGATGGGGGTTCACCAGGTTGATCAGGCTGGTCCTGAACTCCTGGCCTCAACTGATCCACCCACCTCAGCCTCCCAAAGTTCTGAAATTACAGGCGTGAGCCACCATGCCCGGCTAAACTTTCTTTCAGTTGTGGATTTTGGCTACTCTGTATAGCAAGGGGAGGTCTTGCTTTCCATATCGATACCATTAATGTTCATGGTTCTTTTTTTTCCCCCTGTAAGGACTGCAGATTTATGGGTCACCCCAGTTTATAAAATGAGACTATCAAATACAGAACAAATGCATGCTTTGGCCAAGCTTCCAGGCATAGAGTGTTTGCATGTGTATGTGTGCACGGGGTTGCTTACACCTTACCACAGGTCTCTGGCTTTGAATGGACTCTTTCCTCCCAGAGTTGCTCAGCAGTCCTTTCCAAGTACAAGACTGTCAACCATTTGTTATTTGTGTGCCCAGTCTCTGCTTTGTGAATGACCACAGTGCATGGCATTCCAACTGTTTCCTCTTGTCCCTCTGCACACTCCTAGGGCCAGAATGTTCACTGGCATGTTCAGTAAGATCTGTTCAAGCACTGTCCTGCTTATGTCACTGGAGGAGATATACTAGCCCTTGCCCTCTGAAGCTTCTAGCCTACATGGGAAGCCAGTACGAGGATGTGTGTATGTGGGGAAAGATGCACTATCTAATATGTGAGGGAGAGCCTGGGAGTTATGTGCTGCTTTTTTTTTTCACCCAGGCTGGAGTGCAGTGGTGTGATCTTGGCTCACTGCAACCTGGGTTCAAATGCTTCTCCTGCCTCAACCTGGGTTTACTGCTTCCTGGGTTCAAACGATTCTCCTGCCTCAGCCTCCCAAGTAGCTGGGATTACAGGTGTGCACCATGATGCCCTGCTAATTTTTTTTTTTTTTTTTTTTTGTATTTTTAGTAGAGACGGGGTTTTGCCGTGATCCACCTGCCTCAGCCTCCCAACGTGCTGGGATTACAGGCATGAGGCTCCACACCCGGCTGCTGCTTTGATGTGTCTCCAGTATCTAGAACAGTCCTTGGTATGTGGAAGATGCCCAACAAATACATGAAAACGTGTAAAAATTGCTATGGTTTTCAAACTTGATATTGTAAGGGACAGTTTTTCTTCAATGAAATCATACCTGGAGGCTCACTTTTGTGAAACAGATGGATACAATACTGCCCTGCTTGAAGGGAGCTAGGATCAAAGCCTGCCTGCTTGTCTCCTCTGAGCCCCAGAGAGATTCTTAAGAGCCCAGTTGGGAAACTACTAGTTGAAAATGAGGGGCCGGGCGCGGTGGCTCAAGCCTGTAACCCCAGCACTTTGGGAGGCCGAGACGGGCGGATCACGAGGTCAGGAGATCGAGACCATCCTGGCTAACACGGTGAAACCCCGCCTCTACTAAAAAATACAAAAAACTAGCCGGGCGCGGTGGCGGGCGCCTGTAGTCCCGGCTACTCGGGAGGCTGAGGCAGGAGAATGGCGGGAACCCGGGAGGCGGAGCTTGCAGTGAGCTGAGATCCGGCCACAGCACTCCAGCCTGGGTGACAGAGCAAGACTCCGTCTCAAAAAAAAAAAAAAAAAGAAAAAGAAAATGAGGGGCAGCTCAATCCTTGCTCTCTCTTCTTGGTTAACCTCAGCCACAAGGTGAGCCTAGCAAAATAAAGGGAGGTTTAGAGAATCTGACACTCCAAAGGGAATATGTGCACCTGAAAAAGATGGTGTTAATCTCCCCCTTCCCCTCATTCCAGGGAGTCTCCAATTAGTAAGAGCAGAGGGAAGGAAGTTCTAAGTAGGAGACTTCTGAATTGGTTCACAAATGTATATCAATATAATGGTAATATTTGTTTAACTTAAAGAAAGAAAGAAAACCACTGTGATAATGTTTTTCAGCATTCAATAGAAACCCACTTGGTGTTGTCCTACGGGCAGTCTTGATTACAATGTAAAATTCCCTGTGGAGTCTGGTCAGTGAGTAGCTGGTACTGCCATTTACACCAGAGTACCTTGCATTATCCAGAACGCTATTAACATTCCTGACCAAGTTCACGGTCAACCTTGTGCACCGGCAGCCAAGAGGGCCTGCCTAGAGAGAGCTTCTCTTCTCCATGCCTGCAAAACTGTGACTCTCTACCTGACCTGGCCCTCTCCTAGCCTCCCTACCATAACAGGGCAAGGGAGGGGAATCAACCCAGGGGATATTCCCTTGTCAAGGTCGTCCATGGAGCAAAGCACATCCCAGATTTGCATCTAGGAAACAATTTTGGGTAACAGACATATGTATATTTTTTAGATATGTCAAAGGGGTAAAGCTCTTTAATTAAGATGGTTTCATCATTATCTATCTCATGAATCTCTACCTTCCCCATCGAGTGTCCTTCCTCACAGGTGCCTGAAGGGGCAGGCAGATAATTAGTGCTGGGGATCTCATTTGATAGTAGGGGAAACTGAGAGGTGAAAAAAGCTCCCCTCAGATAGCAAGTCACCAGGAACCCCAACTTCTCCCCTACTGTGTGGCATGGCCACCTCCTCCGCCTCTTAGCCAGTCCTCCAACTTCTACATCTTAAAAATCTAGCTCAGGGGCTGGGTGTGGTGGCTCACACCTGTAATCCTAGCACTTTGGGAGGCCGAGGTGGGCGGATCACCTGAGGTCGGGACCTGAGTTCAAGACAAGCCTGACCGACATGGAGAAACCCCGTCTCTACTAAAAATACAAAAACATTAGCTAGGTGTGGTGGCGCATGCCTGTAATCCCAGCTACTTGGGACGCTGAGGCAAGGGAGTCCCTTGAACCCAGGAGGCGAAGGTTGTGGTGAGCTGAGATCTTGCCATTGTACTCCCGCCTGGACAACAATAATGAAACTCTGTCTAAAAAAAAAAAAAAAAAATCTAGCTCAGGTCTGACCCGACTAAATGGACAGCCTTCCATTGACTTCCTATCCCCTCAACCCCCGTTAAAGCCACCATCTACAGCATTTGGACTAGTCATTTGTACTTAAGTAACTTAGTACTAGTCATTTGTACTTAAGTAACACGAAATTTGGTCTTAGGATCAAAGCCACTCAAGGTTAGAGCTGGAGGGAACCTTGGAGATTAAGAGAAACTAAGGTTTGGAGAACCCACCTAAGGTTTCATAGCAAATATGTGACAGATCCAAGGCTTCAAGCCAATTTTTCCAATGTGTTCCTCATGCTTTCCTGGCTACAACTAGTTTCTCTATTTCTTCTTCTTCCTCTCCCTTTCCCTCTCCCTCCTTCTTCTCCTTCTCCTTCTTCTGTGTGTGTGTCTTTTTTCCCCTATATGATACTTCCTTTCTGCCCTGTGACCCTCTCCCCCTGTCCTGTCTTATTAGAGAGAGGCTCTACAGCTAGCTGCATAGTACCTGTTCTCTGGGACCTTGGTGTTGATCTAAGGCTGGTTTAACTACCTAAAGAGAAGCAGAGCCCTGAGGGGGCCTGCCATAACCCAGCTCTGAAACATGACTTAATCCCAAGTAAGATAAGCTCTGACATTTGTTCAGAAGGAAAAATGATGGATTCCAAAGTTTGGCTTCTCCAAGGTCATCCAGCTAAGAGATGGCTGCAGCAGGAGGCAACAATAGGTCTTCAGGCCCCTGGGGCGGCACCCTGGCACTGCCCAAGAGCCCGCAGGCTCTGAAGGCCAACTGAGCCAGCGGCAAGCCTAGTCGCTGCCTCCCTGCTTGGAGCAGTGCGACCATACCGTTTTCTGTGGGCTCATTTGTGAGCTTAGTTCCTATCCTAAATGTGGGGATTCAAGGCAGGCAAAGAGTGTGCGGTTGGCCACCCTGCTCGCCTTCAGGAAGTGTGTGGGACACTGTCGAGGCCCCCTAGCCATTGTAAACCAGGCACTGAGGCTAGTGCCCAGTTGTACCCCTCCCGCGCAGCGCTCAGGAGCGACAAACCTGGAGGCTATTCAGTCAGTCACTGGGCTGTGCCAGGATTCGCGGACTTTCTCCTGAGCAGCGCTCTCAGTTAGCGTCTTCCGCCTGCCACTCTCGCACGCCCCCAGAGTACCCACCGACCCCAGCAGGCCGGGTACTCCCGGCCGCGCGCATCCGGCCAGTGGCTCCAGGGGCGGGCCTGGTATATCTCCAGCTGGGCGCCCGCCGCCAGCCCCAGCGCTAGTTCTGGCATTGAGGGGAGAGAGGTAAGGAGGGGAGTTGGCGGGGCATCTCCCTCCCAGGGCTGAGCTGGCAAGTGCATCTTCTCTGCGAGTTCCTCACTGTCCAGCGAGCGCTGCCCAACTTCTGCGCCGGTGGGACCCGCTGCTCTGAGTCGCTCTTGGCACAGAAGACCAAGCACCCTCAGAAACCGCATTTACCACGTTTGTGAGGCTCCTGAGAGAAGGCAAGAAACCCAGGCGGGGCTCCCAGGGCTCTCGGGCTGGAGCTGGGTTGTGTGTGTGTGTTGGGGAGGGGGCGGGAGGGCTTCATGGATACCCCTCCCAACCTGCTTCCTTTCCCTGACAGCAGCCATCTCCCCCAAAGGGAAAGCCTTAGGCGTCCCGGAAGACCCCGCGGACTGTGCACCTCGAGGTACCAGCCTCTCCTAGGAGGAGTAGGGGGCCGCTGGTCAGCGGCTGGCAGAGGGGACCTGTTTGCTGGCCCGTTTGGAGGTGGGATGGGGTGGGGTTTGGAGACTGAGAAGCCCAAGAGAAGATATTGAGTTTCTCCCCACCCCCCAACTCCACTTCCGAAAAAGAACCAGGTGGCGAGGAGGAATAAGGCGACGTGTAAACACAAACAACCTCAAAAAGAAGCCAAGAAAAGCGAAGCCCAAAGAAGCAAGAGCAACACTGTTACAAAACTGTCTGGTTTTGTAACAATTTCCCCGCCGCCGGCCAATGAGCAGCGTGGCGGCACGTCACGTGGTACCGTTTTATATAACACTTTGCTGAGACAAGACAGTTATTAGGCGGCGCGGGGCGCCCGGCATGGAGCTCCCGGAGGCGCGGCAGGGTCCGGAGCTCGGTGGCACGGCGGCGGTGGCTGCCCCGATTTCCTCCAGCTGCCAGTCTTTGCTTCGTGTCCCCAGTCCCTAGACGCCTCTTCCCCTCCCGTGTCCCTCTTCCTATGGAGTCCTTACGGACCGAACAGATGCTGAGCTTGCCCGCCGAGGTCAGCAGCAACAACTTGGAGCCGGCGGAGCGAGGGGCATCAGCGGCCCAAGTAGACATGGGCCCCCACCGAGAGGCGGCTGCAGAGAGCCCAGCACCTCTACCGACGCGGGAGCCACAGCAAGAGCAGTCTCCGGGAACCTCAACGCCGGAGAGCAAAGTCCTGCTCACGCAGGCAGACGCCTTGGCGTCCCGGGGGAGAATCCGGGAAGCCCTCGAGGTGTATAGACAGCTCTCCGAGCGGCAGCAGCTGGTGGCTGAGCAGCTGGAGCAGCTGGTGCGCTGCCTGGCGGACAAAGTCCCGCAAGGCGAGGCGCTGGCGCCAGCGCCCCCGGGCGAGGGTAGCACTGCAAGCGGCGCCGTGGCGGCGGAAGAGACGGGGGCCGCCGCAGGCGCGGCGGCCACCGAGGTGTGGGACGGCTTTAAGTGCCGGAAATGTCATGGGTTTCTATCAGACCCCGTGTCCTTGTCGTGTGGCCACACCTTTTGTAAACTGTGCCTGGAACGTGGGCGGGCCGCCGACCGGCGCTGTGCGCTGTGCGGGGTCAAGCTCTCCGCGTTGATGGTGGCCACTGGGCGGGCGCGTGGATCCCGGCGGGCTGGGCAGCAGCCTCCGCCGCCGCTGCGAGTCAACGTGGTGCTCAGCGGCCTCCTCGGGAAGTTGTTCCCAGGCCCGGCGCGGGCGTCGCAACTCCGGCACGAGGGCAACCGGCTGTACCGCGAGCGCCAGGTGGAGGCGGCGCTGCTCAAGTACAACGAGGCAGTTAAGTTGGGTGAGTTCAACGCGCTGCCGGGCCGGGGCTGGGGCTCGGTGGCTACACGAGGGAGCGGGAGAACAAACCCCCTAGCGAGATGGGATTTGGACCAGGGCAGAAAAGGGGGCGGGGGACCCATGGACTGTGGCCGGGGTGGGGGAGGGGTGCTTCTGGGACTGGGTCTCTGAGTTTGTCCTGTTTTCACTGCTTTAGCTGTCTTTCACTGTGTTTGTGTTGATCTTGGTTGCTTTTTGTCTTTTCCTGCTACTTCTGTTAGCTTTTGTGTTCCTGTTTCTCAGTCCCCATTCCTTGCTAGCTTTTGTGTTCCTGTTTCTCAGTCCCCATTCCTTGCTTTTGGTTCTTTTTCTCCGTCTCTTTGCATCTTTGTCACTGTTTCTTTCTTGCTCGGTGTCACTGTCTCTGTTTTTCTGACTCCCCTTCTCCCGCTGCACTCCTGGCCTCCTCTTATACCTGCTCGCACCTTCCCAGCGAGGAGAGGAACTTCGCGCGCTCCTCGCACTCGCGCCCGGTCCTCCCGGCTGTAGCCAGCCCGAGATGTCCGGTCGGCGCCTGCGTCCACCGCTCGCGCCGCCGGGTGTTGCCCCTTCCGGGGCCGCGGCTCCCTGTGGGGTGGGTCCGGCATGGAATTAGGTCAGGAGAGCACTGGTTGCATAAGGGCCGCGAGCGGCCCGGGTCGGGCGCCCCTCCCCCGCACGAGCGGGCGGGATTGTGTAACCGCTGAGGTAACTGAAGTGGGCCACCACGCTCGCTTCGGAAACCATCCCACGAGCGTGTGCGGGGGGAGGGGGAGCGCTTGCGCCCCGCTGCCCTGTGACTCATTGTCACCGCTTCCTATCACACGATCCTCGGCTGAAATAGATGTCCCCCCCTCCCCGCCCGCCCCGCCAACCCGTAGCCTGTGCCCTCGCCTTGAACCCCTTTAACCCGGCCAGCCCGGCGGGAGGCCGGGCCCGGCAACTGCTTGGGGATCCCCAGGGACCGTGGGCTGGCTACGAATGGGTCACGCCTCTGTCCCGCTTTCCAGTGCCACCTGGGAGGGTTGGGTGGGCTTTGCAGCTTCAAGGGCAACGTGGGCAGTCCCACATCTCCAGCTAGACTAGGGCACCCGAATTTCACCAGGGAGACGCTCTCTCCGAGCCACCGTGCCTGGACCCAGGAAGTGGCAGCTGAGCCGCCAGCCGGTGTTGCCCAGCTCGGGCAGTCTGCCAGGAGCTCGGTCTCGGGGCGCGGTGTCTGGTGAAGCATGCCGGGGAGGAGGCAGCAGGGCTGGGCAGGCAGGGCCCTGGGATCCGAGGGTGTCCTGGACCTGACTCTGGAGTGGAGGAGGGGTGTGGGCCGGAGTCTCCACGTGTTGAATCTCCACTCAGGCTTGCAACAGGTAATGGGGAGAGGAGGAGGAGGAATGAGGACTGACAGGGCAAAGCTGGCAGCTAGAGAAGGGGACCCCTCTAGCTCCTGTCTGTGCACAAGCAAGGCGGACTGTGAGCTGCCACCAGGCTGGAGTGTGCTGCAGAAGAGAAAAGACAGAAAAGACTGTAAACAATTTGCTAATGTCTTAAGAGCAAGTAATGGGCACCCAAGCAAGCCCTCAGCACACCCCTGGGAAAAAAACCATCAAAGCCTGTTGCCACAGAGAAAGCTAGAGCCCAGATCTTGGGGAAGAGCAGGGCAATATGAATGAGGCAGGTGGAGGCCACTTAACTCTAGATCTCTAAGGCAGGTTTCATACCTCTTAGCCACCCCCCAAGGGCCAGGAAAGCCCCTTCCTGCCCTCACCCTCCTATTGCCACCACATTCCCCTGGAGGTTCTTCCTTGCATCTTTGTTAATCCCCTCAGAGAAGTCAGGGTGAAAATGTCAAGGCCAGCTTTACCTTTCTAAGAGGAAAGGAGGCTCTCTGTTCTGGAAGATGGCCATTGTGTCCGCATTATTCCAAGTACTGTACACACCTTCAGTAAAAGGAACCTACCTGCTCCCCACATCCCAGCTTCAAAGCTTCGAAGTCTGACCAGTTATCAGTGACTGCCCAGCTAGCTGTGTGACCTTGAGAAGATGCCTTCCCTTCTCTGGGCTTGATTTTCCCCATCTGAAGAATGGGTTGATTGAGCCAGATAATCTCTAATAGCCTGTCCAGCTCTGACATCTAGTAATTCGGAGTTTTTGGTGAGAGCCAGCCTCGCCTTATTCCCAGAAACCTTATCCAAGTTCATTTACATTTGACCATGTGAAAGGAGAGGATGGGACCATGTAAATGTATTTCCATTTTCTTCAGGGAATCTTCATATGTGTTGGGCTTTGTAGACTAAGATGTTGTTAATGTCATCAGTCATTGCCACCTGGAAAACTAACTTGGATTTGTCTTCTTGGTGGTTCAGATAGGGGTCACATCTGCCCACCTCTCTCTCCTTCCTACCTGGCCTGTTTTCTTGTTGGTAATACTGTACTCATAAACCAGGCTGCCAGGCCCTAGCTGTGTGTAGCCACATCTCATCTATGTCAAAGTGTCTCATGCATCACTGACACCACGGGGCCTCTAATGAACTGCTTGTGAGCAGGGGCAAAAATGACTTTGCAGCTGGGGAACCTCAGGCCCAGACTGGCTGGGGGTGTAGAAAGCAGGACAATATTAGGACTAGAAATAGAGCCTAACCCTTTTGATCTCCAGTAGAAAAGTCCTAGAAAACTTGTCATTTCTCAAGATCCATACTCATACAGGACTGAACACCTGCTTGTACTGGGGGCTGTTAATAAGGGTTTTTCTTTCTTATTTTCGCAGCTCCGAATGACCACTTGCTTTATAGCAATCGGTCTCAGATTTATTTCACCTTGGAGTCTCATGAGAACGCACTGCATGATGCAGAAATAGCATGTAAGCTCCGCCCGATGGGTTTTAAGGTGAGTGTGGGATGGGAGAGGTGGGAAGGGGTTGTACTGTAGACAGGAATTGGCAGGAAGGGCTGCCTCCCTGGAGCGTAGGGGCTCTAGAGCTCAAGCAGAACAGGAAGAAGGCTTTGCAAAAGAGCCAGGGTAAAGATCCCTGGGCAAAGGGTGACTCAGGTCTGCAAGGGAACTGGATTCTTCCCCAATTCAGTCTTCAACTGATGACCTTCAGAACAGCCTGGGCACAGTGACTCTCTAGAATACACACTTGGGAGCCAGACTGCCTGGGTTTGTGTCCCAACTGCTACTTTTATGACCTTCGTGGCCTTGGACAAATGACCTAACTTCTCAGTAGTTTATCATCACCTCATCTGTAAAATGGGGGATATTCAAAGCAGCTACTAAATAGGGCTGTTGTGAGGATTACATAAGCTAATAATGTAAGGTGCTTAGAACAGTGTCTGGCATGTAGCACTATATAAACGTTTTCTTTCTTTCTTTCTTTCTTTCTTTCTTTCTTTCTTTCTTTCTTTCTTTCTCTCTCTCTTTCTCTCTTTCTCTCTTTCTCTCTTTCTCTCTTTCTCTCTTTCTCTCTTTCTCTCTTTCTCTCTCTCTCTCTCTCTCTCTCTCTCTCTCTCTCTCTCTTTTTCTCTTTCTCTCTTTCTCTCTTTCTGTTTTCCTTTTTTTTGAGATGGAGTCTCCCTCTCATGACCAGGCTGGAGTGCAATGGCACGATCTCAGCTCACTGCAACCTCCGCCTCCCAGGTTCACGCCATTCTCCTACCTCAGCCTCCCGAGTAGCTGGGACTACAGGTGCCTGCCACCGTGCCTGGCTAATTTTTTTGTATTTGTTTAGTAGAGACAGGTTTTCACCGTGTTAGCCAGGATGGTCTTGATCTCCTGACTGTGTGATCTGCCCGCCTTGGCCTCCCAAAGTGCTGGGATTACAGGTGTGAGCCACTGCACTGGCTTTTTTATTATTATTATTATTATTATTTGAGACGGAGTCTTACTCTGCCTCCCACACTGGAGTGCAGTGGCATGATCTCGGCTCACTGCAACCTCCATCTCCCAGGTTCAAGTGAGTCTCCCACCTCAGCCTCCCGAGTGGCTGGGATCATAGGTGTGTGCCACCATGCCCGGCTAATTTTTGTATTTTTAGTAGAGACGGGGTTTTGCCATGTTGGCTGGTCTCAAACTCCTGGCCTCAAGCAATCCACCTGCCTCAGTCTCCCAAAGTGCTGGGATTACAGGCGTGAGCCACTGTGTCCGGCCTACATAAATGTTTTCTATCGCCATAATTATCTTCATTTTCCAGGGACATTAGAAAGAGGAAGGTGAAAGTGGTGTTGCTGGCCTGGTGCTCCTGAACCTCTACTGATAGCCAGGCTCCTTGGCAGCTTAACCAGTTTTCTCTGAAGGGATCCTCACACTCACACAATGGTTGTGCCATTTCAAGTCCTTAATATAGTCAGTCAGCCTGCCAGTGTCCCCAAGGATTTAGGTCAGATGGGGGGTGAGAAGAAAAACAGCCTGGACACCTCTCAGGATGCCAGGATGCAAAGTGTCACTTTCCGTATCTTTGCCTGGCTTCAGGACTGGCCCTCAGCCACATGTCAGTACTTTGTTTAGAAGATTAGATTTGAGCCTGTGCTCTACTATTTGGAAACCATGGGGAGGTGACTTCACTCTCTGAACCCCAAGTATTCTTGTTTGCAAAATGAAGCTATTGATATCTGCCCTGACTGCCTCGCAATGATGCAGTGAGGGTCAAAAGTGAACGTGGCCAAGAGGACATTCTGTAAGCTATAAAGCTTGCTGGGTGTAATGCTCTCTCTCTACACAACCCAAGGATGCCTTCCTCAGAAAACCAATGTATCCAAGTTCAAGTCCATGATCCCTTATCTGAATCTTATAAGATCAGAAGTGTTCAGAATCCAGAATGTTTTATATTTTGCAAGGACCATATATTAGGTCTCAGTGAGCTCTGGATAGCTTCCTGTAATCAAACACACTATCCAGCAGATTCTGTGAAAATTCACACTCAGTGGGCTAAATATTTTTAAACACTTTATAGCAGTTTAGGTCAGGTTTTGCCATCTAATGAATTTTGATGTCGAGTTTATGAAAACAATGGATTATCAGAACTTTTTTGGATCTGAAAACCAGATAAAGCATGTGGACCTGTGTACTCTGCCATGAATGTCAGTTGAATATTTTATGTTCTTTCCTGAGAAGGTTTTCATGAGTGATGATGAATTAGTATGATTTTTTCCCCAAGGAACACATTTAGTGTTTAATACAAGGCACCAGTGTCTTAACCCAAAGGAGCTTTAGTGGGGGCACTTTCGGCCTCCCAGTAGTGCAAGTCAGGGAGCTGCCTAGGAGTAAGAGGACTTGCAGCTCTTTCCACCTCTACCCTAAGCCTAGATCTTACGGCTAAGAACCTTGATAGTGTGGTGAGAAGCAGAACTGAGAAGCAATGAAGCATTTTGGGTGTGAAATGGGAAAAGTGACTTCCCCAGTGAAGGAAGAGTTGATGAAAGTATTAAATAGGAGTTTCATTTCCCCATAGTGATGAAGTGATAGGTGGGGGCAGTGATAAGATAATTTATTGTCTTGGGGGTTAAGAGAAGACTGGAAGTGATGCATATAATTCAAAACCACTTCCCACCCTGATTTGCATATTTCCCAACATTTCTGTGTAAAATGCCCCAAGTGTAGGGGTTTAATCTGGCAGCCCTATTCTCTATTCTAGCCATCCAGACAGAGTGTGTGGTATTCTGCACATCCTGCAGGTGATACAGCTCTCAGTGGTGTGAGCTGGTTGCCCTGAGCAGGTAGAGTTTATGGGTTGGCCAGGCGCGGTGGCTCACGCCTGTAATCCCAGCACTTTGGGAGGCTGAGGCAGGTGGATCACTTGAGGTTAGGAGTTTGAGACCAGCCTGGCCAACATGGTAAAACCCCATCTCTACTAAAAATACAAAAATTAGTCTGGCATGGTGACGCATGCATGTAGTCCCAGCTACTCAGGAGGCTGAGGCAGGAGAATTGCTTGAACCCAGGAGGCGGAGGTTGTAGTGAGCCGAGATCCGCCACTGCATTCCAGCCTGGGTGACAGAGCAAGATTCTGTCTCAAAAAAAAAAAAAAAGTATATGGATTGCCACTTGATATGATTAGTGGGATCACACAGAGGCCTTTCCAGTCTCCCAACACTTCTCCCCTCTAGCTGCCCTGTGGTGTCATGCAAGCCTTTCCCAAAGGCCCTTGGTAAACACTGCTGGGAGAAGCAACAAGGGAGGCTATCAACATCCATGTATCAGCCAAGACAAGGCTTCAGAAGGAGCTGGGGGAATGCAGAAAGGTCCTCGAGAGGTTTGGAGCAGGGGCCACTGCTCAAGAAGGCAGCTTCAGGGCAGCCCCTGCAGCCAGGCCATAGCCTGAGGGCTCTGGGGCCTGCAAAGAGGCATGTTAGAAAGGAAGGCAGGGGAGTATCCAGCAGCCACAACCTGGATCACTTCATTCACTAAGTTAGGCTTAGTGCTGCCAATGGAGGAGGCAAGGGAGCAGGCCACTGGGTGGAGGGACGTCCTAGATGACTCAAGTGAAATGCTCTTCAAGCCAAGTTGCTAGTGTCCACCTGTCTCAAGACACACACAGAGGGCAGCCCTCTCCCCCACTACTATTTTTTCTTCCTTCTTTCCCAGGATGTTTCTCTGCTCTCCCTAGAGTGTCTTTCCCAGAGCAGTTGGGCTTGGGCCCTGAGGAACCATAAACTTCTTCATACTTTTTAAAGTATGTGGTGAGGGAACAGCAGTGATCCAAGCCCCTAGGAGAGTAAGCATCTGCTCAGCCCCTGGTTAGCCCTCTGAAGGGCAGTCTGCTTTGTGGAGAAGAGCATCCTGGGAGTCCTGAGACTGCAGTTCTAGTTCCAGCTTTGCCACTAGCTACCTTTGAGGTCTTGGGTAGGTCAGATCCCTTCTCCCGGGCTTCTTCTGAAAATTGATCAGTTAGTTTAGGTGCTCTTTCAAGCCACTACTGAGGACTAGTTCTTTACTTGAGAGACTAGTTCAAACGAAGGCATAGCTGGCTGAAAGCTGGTTAGCATGTGGTCAAATAGGGGTTCTTGCTACATTTGATGGTCACTCCGTACAATGGTGGGGCACAGACAAGGTAGTGTGGCAGAGCGGTTAAGAATACAGGCTTTGGTATCAGTCAGTCCCAGGTTCAAACCCTGATTCCACAATTTACCAGCTGTGTTACATTGGGCAAGTTAACGTTTTTGGGTTTCAGTTTTGTCTTCTTTATAATGGCATTAGAACAGTTGCCTACATTTTAGGGCTGTAGATAAGAGAGTCCTTTTAAAATGTTTTACACAACAGAGAGTGCTCTGGGTTAGTTATTGTTAGAGCAGTAGTGTTAATAGGCTGAATAAAATGGGATTGAATGCTAATGTTTCCTTCCAGGCACATTTCAGAAAAGCCCAAGCCTTAGCCACCCTAGGCAAGGTGGAGGAGGCACTAAGGGAGTTTCTCTACTGTGTATCCCTTGATGGAAAGAACAAGAGAGCAAGATGTGAAGCCCAAAGAGTGAGTTGAAATGACATCAGGTCCAGCTGCCTACTGGACCCTCACCTCTCTGTCTTCTCTAGGAAGGGGAGTGAGGGTGCTGTCCTCCCTGGCATTTGGGGTCCTGAGTGGGTGGTTCCCTGGGTTAAGGGGACAAAAGGGAGAAGGGAGTGCTAATTGATTGCCCAGAAACACCGTCCTTCTGGTGTGTATGATCAGATTGGGCAGTTCCTACATTTTTGTAGGAGCCTGTGAGGAATGTTCTTGCTTCTTTGACTCAGGGTCTGGATTGTCAGTGGGAGAAAAACCAAAATCAAGTACATTAACATGGGGATTGAGGCTCACTGAGGACATTCTGGCTGTTGATGAGAGATCCAGGGTGTGGGGCTACCTACTGTTACCTAACTTTTCTTTGGCTGAATCACAGTTTTCACCATCCACACATGATAACCAGCCCCTGGGAAGGGACGTTGGTGGTCCCCACCTCTCCTATCACCATACACAAAACTCCAACCTTCAGCTCCTTTGCTAGAAATAAAACACACTGCCTCACAAATGCTAGTCAGAGACCATTACAATGGAACGCAAACAGTCATTCCAACTCCTGGGTCCCAGGAGAATGTGGTAATTATAAAAGAAAAATGGTGTGAAATACTGAGAGCATGAGTGAAGGCTCAGGAATCTTCAATTCGTGGACTTTGTTGTTTATTGTTTTACAGTTTACTCTGCTGGTGTCTGGGTAATTGGCCTGTAAGTTGGATTCTGACAGTTGGAGGTTGTCTCTGCTCTCCTTGTGCCCCACCCGCTATTCACTGCCGAGCCTTACGGTTTCTGTCCCAGTGTGGTTTGGCAGAGAATTGGATAAAGAAATTGAGCAAGAGACAGAACTGGTTTCTGAAGGCTCTAGAAAGGAATGGTTAGCAAAATCGATGAACTAAGGGAACTGGCCCTGGATTTTCTGTCTCTCACAAAGGATCTCCTTTCTGGGAAGTTGCTTTGAATTGGTTTGAGTATGTGAAAAAGGTGTGCTTGAGAGGAGCATGGTTCGGGGACAATTGCTTCAAGCTGTGGACCCTTCTCCAAATCTTAAGTGTAGTCCATGATGTAATGATAATAATAATAGCTAACATTTGTTGAGAATTTCTTCTACATTAGACACTGTGCTAGGCGTTTTATGTAGAGTAGATTATTTAAACCCCACTACATTCCTGAGGCTAGGTTTGGTTATTTATCCTCAGGTTACAGATGAGACAGATGAAGCTCGGGCTTGCTGACTTTCCCAAGGTCATGCAGCTGGTGATTGGTGGGAAAGTATTCAAACCCAAGTCTATCTGCTTCCAAAGCCTGGCACCTTAGCTGCTCTGCCATCCTGCTTCCCATGAGGACATGGCCACAGCCTCAGCACTCACTGGTGATGCTGGGTCAATAGTAGCAATGGAACTTTCCAGTTCCGTGATGAACAAAGGCAGTTAGAAGAAACTTGTCTTTGAGAACAGAGCGTGCAAAGGCCAACAGAGGCAGGTCTTAGACCCAAGGAGGAATGGTTTCTTGACTCCTGTTTGTCCATTTCCCAGTTGGCCTGAGATGTTTTTGTTGTCATCAGTTGGGCTGACCTGTCTCTCCAGTCTGCTTTTATAGACAAACTGTTGTCATTTCTACAGCTGCCTAATGGTTTGAGGCAAGGCATTGTGTGAAGCTCTGGAGACACAAAGAGGTGTAAGTCACAGTTTTAGTCTTCAAGGAATTTACAGTCTTGCATTTGTTAACATAAATGCCAGATGATGCAAGCGAGTGTATGCCCATGATGAGTGTTACAGAGTTCTGAAGTGAGGGCAAGAATTTAGAGGCGAATTTCCACTGAGTGTGATGAGGCCATGGCAGCGATTAAGAATGTCGAGAGTCCTCAGTTGTGTTTATTTACTAGATCATTCCAGTTTTAGGGCTAAAGATTTGACAGAGATGATGCAGGTTGAGTTGACATTAATAAGCTGCCTTTGAACTCACAGGCTTGTGTTTCTTTTTAATGTTTGTTTTTACCTCAGATTCTTTTTCCTCCTTCTTGCTATTTGGGCCCTTCTAAGGCTGAGGCTGAAGTGTAGTTGACTTTCATTCGTGTGGAGTGATCATTCTCACTGAGAATTGACCCTAACCTTTGTTTTCCAATGCCATTGAGAAGGCATAGAGAGAGATCGCACGTAGTAAAATGAAGAAGGGAACTGCTGTTGTTATTTCTGCTTTGTTTCCTTTGATTTCTCCCTTTTCCTTCCCACCACCCTCTGCCCTTTCATCCTTGTACCTTGTGATGCTGTGTGGCTGCCATTGAAGAATATTATGCTCTTTTTGGGAGAATTCCAAGGATACTGCCTCCTCAGAACTGGCTTGGTCCTATTGGGTCACTCATTAGGGCTTCAGAGGGCCAACCTTGGCTCCTGTGGAAGAGGGACCTCTGAAAGCTGGCATTTATGGCCCGGGGTGCTGTGAGTACCTCCCCATTTAACTCCTTTGCCAACTCATAACTGGAAAGTGGGTTTCTCAGAGCTGAAAGGAAACATAAGGATCAATCTGAGGACTTTAGGCCTGAATGCGAGGCCTCTCCCTGGGCCCTGGGGTGGATAAGTGTCTTAATTCAATTCCATCCCGTAGGATGAGTATTTATTGGGTATCTGTTATGTGCCCTCTAGAAGCTGGCCATCTGGCGGGAGAGAAAGGCTTACATCTGTGACACATTTCTAGGATAACAACGTGGTGTTCAAGATGCTATATTATGGTGCACTCTCTACTGCATAGGACAGGACTGGAATAGTGAGGGAAGGTAGCACTTGAGCTGAGCTTTGAAGGCTGAGCAGGGTTTGGCTTCATGGCAAGTGCTGGCATCTGAAGGAACATCATGAAGAGACTGCTGGAGGCCAGAGAATGAATCAAACTGGAGTTTGGTGCTCTGTCACATTTCACTGATGAATTAATACCCTATGTATCCTCAGCACAGGACTGGAGCATCCCTTAGTGGGTCTCCAAATACTGCAGGAGCTGCTGGGTGATAAGCACTGGAGTAGGTTTTAGAAGCAAAGTCACCTGCTCTCCTTGTGTTACATGTTTCAGTATATGGAAACACACACACACACAAACACACACACACACACACACACTCACATAATCCTTGCCGGTACAAGGGAAACTTGGGGCAAGAATGTGGACAGTGAATGGTGCAAGCTACATTAGAACACACATCTACCCTCCCAGCTTATCCAATTGCAAGGGAAAAGAGCAAGAGACTGGAACCTCCTTGCACCTAGTACTTTAACTTAACCTAACATCCTCTGGGAGGCAAAGGCCAGAATAGGGGAGGTGAGGCTGGGAGAAGAGGGAGGAAGCTGGTGTTCTGTTTTTCCTAACGGTTAACTGCTCAGGTTCCCAGCTTTGAAGGGATTAAAGATCCAGGGGTGATGGTGGGGAGAGGAGGAAGCAAAATGGATGATGGAGAAAAGAAACAGTGAGGATCCTAGAAGACATTTGTAGACTTCTACTCACTGAGGTATTATGAACTTCAAGTTCTCCAACTGAGGTTTCTCTCCTGACTTCACCTCTCTGTCTCTTTCCTCCTAGATGAGTTTTAAAATCCCACTGCAGATATTTCTGTGGAGTGTTAGCACCAGCATCGTGGCTCTTAACCTTGGCTAGGCAACAGAGGCATCTGTAGTGCCTTCTCAAAATCCAGATTCCTCGGCCACACTTCAGACCTGGGGGAGATGGTAGTAGAAAGTAGAGACCTAGATTTTTCATAAGTTCCTCAGTTGATTCTGATGGCTGCTGAAGCAAGGACCCCTGCCCCAGTGTGTGTTGGGGACACTGGTCCAAGGCTTCCTCCCTGGAGTTCTGCCCTAAAAGCTGGCTCCCTCACCCCCGCCCTTCTCCCCTTCACCTGGGCACCTGTAGAAACTTAAGTAGTGAAGTCTTCTGTTTTATGTCACAGCTTCTCCTTAGTTTCTTTTCACCATCAGTCCCGGGGGATTCTCAGGAACATTCTCCCGATATCCTGAAGCTGTTGGCACCTCACCCTAGATTAAAGGAAAACGTAGAGTCAATGACTACTGAAGTTACCAGCCATAATCTGCCAAGGTTGTTACAGGTAAAACTCAACTCACCCAGCTCGCTCGTGACACTTCGTTTCGCTGTTTTGTGGGCAAACATGGGGAGTGAGCCCTCCCTCTCCTATTTTGGTTCCTGAGAAAGAAGAAATTGAGTCACTAGTGGTTCTGTTCTTTGCAAAGAACCTCTTAAAGATGCAGTTGTGAATTTCAGGCATGGTCCCAGAATTATTCATTACATTGAAAAAAAATTTTGAGACAGGGTGTCTTTCTGTCACCCAGGCTGGAGGGCAGTCATATGATCATGGCTCACTGCAGCCTCAGACTCCTGGCCTCAAGAGATCCTCCCACCTCAGCCTCCCGAGTAGCTGGGACTACAGGCATGAGCCACCATGCCTGGCGGTTTTTTTTTTTTTTTTTTTGGTAGAGACGGGGTTTCACCATTTTTGCCTAGGCTGGTCTCGAACTCCTGGCCTCAAGTGATCCTCCCACCTTGGCCTTCCAAAGTGCTAGGATACATTTTTTTTTTTTTTCCAGTTCTTGGTTAGATCCAGCCAAGAGAGATTTGACAGAACTAGAAAGGAATTGGCTCACTGCCCCTGGGCCGTACAATTTGGGTGGGTTTATAGGCTTTGGGGAGGAGTCTGGGAAGAGGGCCTGAGGATCCCTCCTTTCTCCCTCCTTTCGAGCTTTTGTCTGTTCAAACTGCTGGCCTTTGAGTGCCAGCACTTACCCTGTGCAAAGACAACTCTGTTTGATTCTCAAATGGACGTAATTTTATATCCTTGCACTATGCCTTATACATAAGTAAGCTTCCAATACATATTTGTAACAGAGAAGAGGAAAGAGATGTTGGAAAGAATGTTGAGTTGAAGGACCTGGGAGGAGGACAGGTATTTGTACCTTTCTTTGAAAACCAGAAAACAGAACACAAGAGAGATGGGCTCCAGGCCCTGGCTTTCCTGGCAGAGGGTAAGTGATCAGAAGTTGAGGATCAGAAGCGCAGACTCCAAGGGAGAGTTTAGCACTGAATGCCTGGGCACCTTTAGGGAGCAGTTTTCCCTCCATTCATGCCCCATGTTCTTCTGTGTGTAAGCCCTGGACTCTCAAAAAAGGACTGAAATGCAGGTGTGCCCAGCTTTTGTTAAAAAACAGCAGAACTTAGAGGAGCTCCTGAAATCAGAGAACCCCCAGTGATTTCAATCATTAAGATCACTATTACATGATTGAGGATGCTAATACTGAACCCAAATGCCTGGAGTGACTTCTGATTGCAGCTCCATCTGAAAAGAAGAAAAATAGCAGCCTTGGCTTTCCAGTGTGAACTAGCTGGGGAACAAGGATTGGATTTCCACCCAAACTTTGCTTTGCAAAGCAGTATACTCCTGAGTGGCCAATGCCTTCGGTTCATCGAAAGTCAAGGTTGTAGTACTGCTGTTGTGCTGGAGAAAACCCCAACTCCCCAAGTTAGAGACAGAAAACCCACATTATTTTTCTCCTCACCTCATTGTTTTCTCCCAGCTGTATGCTCCCCTTTTTCACCTGTCTACCAATTTTCTTTTGGTAGGGTTAGAGGGAAACAACAAGATGAATATCTTGACCTGTGGACTATGGGTTTAGATTAGAGAGGGGTTCTCCATGTAAATCTGCATAAACATGTTGTTATTGCACTTATTTCTAAATCCTTTTTCAAATATCCATCTCCTGGGAAAATATTCTTTAAAAGGCTAGAGACGTTGTTTTTTTTGCCAGGTGATTTTGTCTTTTTTTTTTTTTTAATGCTTTTCACCCCAAATCTAGTAAAAGGAATAGTTTGTACCTTGTTCATTTGACTAGTGTAGCATACAGCCCTGCAGCGTGAGGTAACTTGGCAGGCCTGTGAGCAGACCTGTGCCAAAGCCCTACCAAAAGTCCTTTTGGAGCTGGAGTTTGGGGATCGCAGACGGCCGTGAATGGCAGTGAGGGCCAGAGGAACTACTGAGTGACAGGATCTGCCCTCACTGCCTGCCTTGGTTTTGCTAAAGCGGTTATTGGGGAAGGATTTGATAGGAAGGGGAACTGGTGCTAGCCCTGGCATTTCCCCTTTTTGCACCTGCCCAAGGAGCCTCTCCTCCTACATACCTTCCTGTCCTTGCCTAGGGAAGTTCCCTAACTCCACCCAAGCTGGGCATGCCTTGGTTGCAGATGCTGTGTGGACAAGAAGTAGGAAATAATACCTTATGACGGCCCCCCAGCTGAGCTCTGTGTTCACTCTGCAATTGGGGTGGGGATCAGGACTCTATAGTTTCCCTTTGTCCCTCTGGGTAAGAATATCAGAGAACAATATTGGTCCTAAGAAGATTCTGATATGTGGCTCTTTCTTCATCCAGGACAATCTGGAGCTCCCACATTGTTCTAGTCAGGAGGAAGCTGCAGCCAGGGGAGATGGCAGCAGTCTGATGGATCCAGCTAAAGTGAAGGGGGATGGTCAGCAGCACCACATGAAAGACCAGGAAGAAGAGGAGGAGAAGTGGGATGCTACCTCTCCAAAAGCTGCTTCCAGCAAGACTGGAAAATGCCAGGAAAAGAAAAGGAAACATTGCCAAATTGAATCCCAAGAAGACACAGGGATGCCTAATAAAGCCTCCAAGCAAGGTACTGGCTCTACCCAGGGAGAAGGTAGCTTGGAGGAGATCCCTGGGCTCACCAGTATATACAAGTTACTTACCTCTGTCCGGGGGCTCCTTAGTCTCTGGATGTGTGACCCAGCTTTGGCATTTACGAGCTGTGTGGCCTTAAAGATTCCTATGAGGCTTCTGTGAGAGCATGCATCGTGCGTAGCACACTGTAGTAAGTGTTTGATACTAATTATTAATATAATGGAACACCAAGGCATTAGGTCAAGCACAGTATCAACTAATGGCATCCCATACCCATGGGGATGCCACTTCCTTCTAGGGCAACCTCTCGCTACCCCCATCCCCATTCTAGGAATGCAGGATGAGGAAAGTGAGGTCAGGCCTCACCCTGCTCATTCCCAGTTGTGTTCCCATAGGTAGGCATGTGAGAAACTGCAGCTGTGGCTTGCTATCTTTCCACGAGAGGTTGGCAGTGCCAAGATTCAGTTTTAGCTTTGAAGGCCTAGCTCAATCCATTGAGTTGCTGTAGCTTCTGCTGTTGAGAGAGGTGCCTGTTGCATTTGAATGAAGTCCCCAGGGCTCCTGGACATTCTTTGACTTGCATTTCTCTTTCTGTTGGGGCTGCTGGAAACCTCTGAGAACCTACTTCTGAGTGTCCCACTCTCAACGGCTCAGGTGTCCACTAAATCAACTCTCTGGGAGGTGGTGGTGAGAGTGGCAAACTGAAAAACGCATTGGATTCTTTTGCCTCAGAAGTACTATCTATGAAACCGAGGTTGCTCCACTGCTGACTTCTTGCTTTCTAAATCACAGATCCTCCCACTGATCAGGGGGACAAACCTGCTCTCAGTTTACCACTTGCATCTTTCGACGCATCTGACCTTGAATGCGCTCTATGTATGAGGTACGTCCTGTGTACTATCATTTACTTCCTGATGTTTCTTCATCTCTGGTGTCTGGACCTTTCTGCTAGTGACCTACTGCTGGGTTGGTTAGCATGTAAAAAGCATAGCTCTAACGGAATGGAAATCACAACGTTGATTGTCACGTGGGTCAGCTTGTGTCCCCTTCCCACAGACTGCATTCCCTGCATTTCTGACTCTTGACTTGGGAAAAACCTGGAGTGGGAAGGGAACGGTCTATTCGCAGGTCACAAACTGATGGCCCACTGGGCTGATTATGTCTGAATATGTCTTTTGTGTGTGTGTGTGTGTGCGTGTGTGTATCTTTTTTTGGAGACAGAGTCTTGCTCTGTTGCCCAGGCTGGAGTGCAGTGGTACAATTTCAGCTCACTGCAACCTCTGTCTCCCCAGTTGAAGCGATTCACGTGCCTCAGCCTCTTAAGTAGCTGGGATTACAGGCCTGCGCCACCACGCTTGGCTAGGTTTTGTATTTTTAGTAGAGACAGGGTTTCACAATGTTGCCCAGGCTGGTCTCAAACTCCTGAGCTCAAGGGATCTGCCTGCCTGGGGCTCCCAAAGTCCTGGGATTACAGGCCACTGCACCTGGTCTGAATATGTCTTTTGTTTGGCCCTCATGGGGGTTGTTTTTCTTAAATGTGAATGTCTTGAGACAGGACGTGTACTCTCCAGTTGACCATGCCCCCCGCCGCCCAAATGCCTTATTTCAACCTGGTGTCACAATTGCATTACATTCCAACCCCTAGAGATAATTTAAATTTTGGACCCCAGCACTAATCTCAGTTATACCGTCAAGAACTCAAGTTCAAGGACTACTGTCACTGCCACAGATCTATTCTTGGGAAGCCAAGTGGTGGGCCTGACTAGCTTTTGTTTTGTGTTGTGTCATGAATATTAGTGGTGGGCCTGAGATACTTAGCCAAGTATCTCCCCACCAACCAGTGCCACATTATCTCTACTTCCTCAGATCTCTGGAAAGGCAGATTATCCACATGCTTCCCCACCCCCCAAAAAATAAGCTATGATTATGGTGTGTGTAACCATATACAATTTTTTTTTTAAATTGCTTGCATGTCTTTGATTTCACAGCTGTGACTTAGTAGCTTAGAGGAGGGGCTCCCTGGTGCTGTTATTTACTGGCTGTTTACCTGGATGGAGCAAGTGACATTCTCTGCTACTGTTTTCTTGTCAGTAAAATAGAGAACAGTGTACCTACTCCATGGGGTTGTCATGATTAATTGAGAAAAATCTATTTAACACCTGGAATAGTGTCTGGCATATAATAGATACTCAGTAAATGTTAACTTTTTTTTTCCTTCTAGACCAGAGGTCCAGAAGGAAACTTTGGGTCTATGGACCTCTGAGGATGTTCTATATATGGATTCTAATAGATGTATGAATGTCTCGAAGTTGTGTGTTAAAGTATATGGGTTTTCAAGTACAAGGTCCACATCCTTTAGCAGATTCACAAATGTGTCTGTTTTCCAAAAGAGCATTAAAAGGAGGCTGAGATATCCGCACAAATATTAAGATGGTTGGCAGGCTGCTCTTTGTTGTGCTGGTGGGTCCTGCAGGGGGGACTATGGAGCTCCAGATCGACTACAAGAACAAACCAGCAATCCCGAGAGGACCCACAGTCCCTCTGAAGGAAGTGGGTTGCTTCTGCAGGACCCAGGAGACACCCCAAATACTCTGGGAGGCAAACAGCCTCGGGCAAGTTCTCAAGCTCCTCTCACTCTCTGACTGGAAACAGACTTGGGGCTGTTGGAGGGGGGCATGGTGGAAGTGAGACTGGCCCTTCAGTTTGCGTGGGAGCTGGGTGAGGCCTGTGACTGATGTATTTCCCCAACTTCCCTGGCAACCTGCATGACTCATCAAAGGCAGCCATAATCCTCCTAGGTACACAACTCCAGTGACCTGGGAATCTCACCCCCATCCCCCACAGCAACTGCAGCAAGACCCGCCTAAGGAGAATCTGAGCTCATGCATACCTAGCCCTGCCCCCACCCGATGGTCCTTCCCTACCCACCCTGGTAGTGGAAGACAAAGTGGAAGACATCCTATAATCTTAGGGTTTCTAAGGCCCTGCCCACTGCTGCTCCCTCTCCACACTACCACAGCTGATGTTTTCTGGAAAGCACCACCTCCAAGCAGGAGGCCAACCAGCACAAAAATAGAGCATTAAACCACCAAAGCTAAGGACCCTCATAGAGTCCGTTGCACCCTTGACTACCTCCACCAGAACAGGCACTGGTATCTATGGCTGAGAGACCCATAGATGGTTCACATCACAGGACTCTGCAGACAATCCCCAGTACCAGCCCGGAGCCAGGTAGACTCTGGGTGGTTAGACCCAGAAGAGAGACAGTGATCACTGCAGTTTGGCTCACAGGAAGCCACATCCATAAGAAAAGGGGGAGAGTACTACATCAAGGGAATACCCCGTGGGACAGAAGAATCTGAACAACAGCCTTTAGCCCTAGACCTTCCCTCTGACAGAGCCTACCTAAATGAGAAGGAACCAGAAAACCAACCCTGGTAATATGACAAAACAAGGTTCTTCAGCACCCCCAAAAATACACACTAGTTCGCCAGCAATGGATCCAAACCAAGAAGAAATCCCTGATTTACCTGAAAAAGAATTCAGGAGGTTAGTTATTAAGCTACTCAGGGGTAGACCAGAGAAAGGCAAAGCCCAATGCAAGGCAATCCAAAAACTGGTACAAGAAGAGAAGGGAGAGGCTGGGCGCGGTGGCTCACACCTGTAACCCCAGCACTTTGGGAGGCCAAGGCAGGTGGATCATGAGGTCAGGAGATCTAGACCACCCTGGTTAACACAGTGAAACCCTGTCTCTACTAAAAATACAAAAAAATTAGCCAGGCATGGTGGCGGGTGCCTGTAGTTCCAGCTACTCGGGAGGCTGAGGCAGGAGAATGGCATGAACCCAGGTGGCAGAACTTGCAGTAAGCTGAGATCACGCCACTGCACTGCAGCCTGGGTGACAGAGTGAGACTCTGTCTCAAAAAAAAAAAAAGTGAAGGGAGAGATATCATGGAAATAGATAGCTTAAAGAAAAAAAAAAATCAGGAAACTTTGGACACTTTTAAAAATGCGAAATGCTCTGGAAAGTCTCAGCAATATAATTGAACAAGTAGAAGAAAGAAATTCAGACCAGGTGCGGTAGTTCAAGCCTGTAATCCCAGAACTTTGGGAGGCCAAGACAGGCAGATCATGAGATGATCAGGAGATCGAGACCACCCTGGCTAACACGGTGAAACCCCGTCACTACTAAAAAATACACACACAAAAAAAACTAACCGGGCAAGGTGGCAGGCGCCTGTAGTCCCAGCTACTCGGGGGGCTGCAGCAGGAGAATGGCGTAAACCCGGGAGGCGGAGCTTGCAGTGAGCTGAGATCCGGCCACTGCACTCCAGGCTGGGCGACAGAGCAAGACTCCGTCTCAAAAAAAAAAAAAAAAAAAAAGGAAAGAAATTCAGAACTCGAAGACAAGGTCTTCAAATTAATCCAATCCAACAAAGACAAAAGAAAAAAGTAACAAACCTGCACGTTGTGTGCATGTGCCCTAGAACTTAAAGTATAATAAAAAATAAATTAAAGGCCGGGCACGGTGGCTCAAGCCTGTAATCCCAGCACTTTGGGAGGCCGAGACGGGCAGATCACGAGGTCAGGAGATCGAGAGCATCCTGGCTAACATGGTGAAACCCCGTCTCTACTAAAAAAATACAAAAAACTAGCCGGGCGAGGTGGCAGGCACCTGTAGTCCCAGCTACTCGGGAGGCTGAGGCAGGAGAATGGTGTAAACCCGGGAGGCGGAGCTTGCAGTGAGCTGAGATCCAGCCACTGCACTCCAGCCTGGGTGACAGAGCAAGACTTCGTCTCAAAAAAAATAAATAAATAAATAAGAAAAAAAGAAAAAAGAATAAGAAAATATGAACAAATAAGAAAATATGAGCAAAGCCTCCAAGAAGTCTGGGATTATGTTAAATGACCAAACTTAATAATAATTGGTGTACTTGTGGAAGAAGAAAATTCTAAAAGTCTGGAAAATGTATGTGGGGGAGTCATTGAGGAAAACTTCCCTGGCCTTGTAAGAGACCTAGATAGCCAAATACAAGAAGCACAAAGAACACCTGGGAAATTCATCACAAGCAGATCCTCACCTAAGCACATTGTCATCAGATAATCCAAAGTTAAGATGAAAGAAAAAGTCTTAAGAACTGAGACAGCAACCAGCTAACCTATAAAGGAAAACCTATTAGATTAACAGCATATTTCTCAGCAGAAACCCTAAAACCTAGAAGGGACTGGGGACCTATCTTCAGCCTCCTCAAACAAAACAATTACCAACCAAGAATTTTGTATCTGGTGAAACTAAGCATCACTTATGAAGGAAAGATACAGTCATTTTCAGACAAACAAATGCTGAGAGAATTTGCCATTACCAAGCTACCACTACAAGAACTGCTAAAAGGAGCTCTAAATCTTGAAGTAAATGCTGGAGACACATCAAAAGAGAACCTCTTTAAAGCATAAATCACATAGGACCTATAAAAACTACAAGTTAAAAAGCAAAAACATAAAGTACACATGCAACAAAGAGCACGATGAATGCAACGGTACACCACATTTCAATACTAACAATGTAAATGGCCTAAATGCCCCACTTAAAAGATACAGAACCGCAGAATGGATAAGAACTCACCAACCATCTGCTGCCTTCAGGAGACTCACCTAACACATAAAGACTCACATAAACTTGAAGTAAAGGGGTGGAAAAAGGCGTTTCATGCAAATGAACACCCAAAGTGAGCAGGAGTAGCTAGTTTTATATCAAACAAAACAAATTTTTTTTTTTTTTTTTTGAGACAGAGTCTCCTTCTGAGACCCAGGCTGGAGTGCAATGGTGTGATCTCGGCTCACTGCAACCTTTGCCACCCAGGTTCAAGTGATTCTCCTGCCTCA